TCCCTCTTATTCACAGTCTAACTTTCTTAAGTCAAATGCACCTTAGTCTTTAAACATTGTTCTTGTGAACTGGTAGAATAATTGTTCAGCTTGATTCACCTGCAAGTTGAGCACAATTTCAGTGCCCCCAGGTGCTGCTGTTGGCACTCAGCAGCCTAAGGGTGCTCTTCACCCCTGAAGGTGAGACTGAGTCATGGACGGAAGAACTTGTACCAGGGTTATTAATTCACAAAAGGGAAGTTTTATTAGAATAATTTATCTGCCCTGCTAGTTGGAGTATCACAAAAAAACAATTCTCATAGTTGCATCTGTCTTTGTAGATTCCATCGTCATAGAGTTGTATGCCCCTTATTTGTGACTGACGACCAGTAAGGCAAATATTGATGAGTCACAGTCTATTATGGCCTGTTGTTGTAAAGCATTAAATATTAACTTCTCTGGGAAATTGACCAACTAAGGGCAGTAGCACCTTGGAATCTTCTTATTGCTAATTTGTATTTACGATCCATTCACAAAATGAAGTGTGGACACTTCACAGTGTTCCACTGCAATTAACAAATGGGATCCTTTGATAACTTGATGGTGACAGTTTAGAAACTTGAGGAGTCATGATTGCAAATTATTTCTTATAGCTTCGTGTCAGAGTTCAAAAGGTGTGACCACTTCACCTGTCAGTAGGGCTAGCACACAGCACAGGACGCTTTCCTGCTTGTTCATTGCCAAGGACAATATGGGACAGACCCAGGGCCTATGACAAGGATTAATTTCACAGTCGCAGGACTTTCCCGCTTCCAGCCACTGAGCGACATGCTCCTGAGATCAGCTCTTCCAACTTTGTTAAGTTTGTGTGTGTGTGATTGGTTTTCATAAAATCATTCTTGTACATTATGTCTTCTAAAGTCAATTACAATTCATCAATGCCTTTTCTCACCACATCTCAATAAATCCTCATTGCACTTTGCCTAACCCCTCACCCCACCCACTGCCCACACTGTTGCCCTAGTATTTTCCCCTTGCCCTGCTTTCCCCTCCACTCTCTCTTCCCCATTTGAACAGTTATACATATTCCGTTCCAAGCTGCTAATTGCAATTCTCATATTGCCCTTCCATCGGTACTTTAAAAGTTCATCCTCTCTTCTCTTGATCTTTTACCGTGTTCATGGTCTGCACGTTCTTTTCTTCTCTCCTCATGCATCCCCCCAATTATACTTATATTGTCACAGTAGCAGTTATGCAGTATTTGTCCTTTTGCCATTGAGTTCTTTCATTCAGCATAATGTCTTCTAGACTCACCCATGTAGAACATTCTACAAGTTCTTCATTGCTCTTTAATGCTGCATAGAATCTATTGTATGAATATATCACAATATCTCTATCCATTAATTTGTTGATGGACTTCTGGACTGTTTCCAGCTTTTTTTACTGTTGTGAGTAACGCTGTGATGAACATAGGTGTACACATATCTATTTGTGTCTCAATTCTGATTTCCTTGATATATTCTGAGTAGTGGAATAACTGGGTCATATGGGATTTCTGTCTTCACCTTTCTGAGGAAATGTCAAACTGACTTCACTAAGTAGTAATACCATGGTAGAATCCCACCCAGTCCATGAGAGTTCCAGTCTCTCCGCATCCTTACCTACATAAGCTGCTTATACTTGCTGCTGGGATACAAAGGGAACTAACAGCTGATTTGATTTACAACAACTCTGTAATTGCTAGTGATTGTGAACATTTCATCATGTTGGCCATCCAATATCCTCCTTGATGAAGTCTTTTTGTGTCTTTGCCCATTTTGTAATTGGATTATCAGGATTTTTTTTATTGTGAATGCTCTGTCATATTCTGTATTTTAGTTAGGAGTTCTTTGCCAATATATGTCATTACCATATATTTTCCCCAGTCCATGGACTTCCTTTTCACCCTATTGGAAAGAGGTTTTGGTTTTCTTTTCATACATTGTGTTTCATTCATGTACATTGTGTTGTATACAGTCATTCACTACATTGTTGCTGTTGTTGATTGTCTTCAAGTTGAGCATGATTCATAACAACCCTATGAACAAAAGGCCTGAAAACCCTCTACAACTATCAATATTTATCAATGTTCACAGAGTTTTCTGAGGCAAGCTGTTTAGGAAGTGGATGCCACTCCTGCTTCTCTATAATTAATTACTATTGGTCTATGCCTATTACCTTGTTTCTTCAATTCCTTCTGGAATCTTTTCTATTCCTTTTCTAATCTTCCCTCTCTACCTACTAATTTGTTGTTGTTGCTGTTGTTATGTGCCATCAAGTTGCCTATAACTCACAGTGTCCCTACGTAAAACAGCCCTAAACCCTGCTCTATCCTGAGCCAATCTTGTTGTCTCTGACACAGCTACTCCCGTTACCCCAGTCACTGAACCAATCCATCTTATCAAGGGTCTACCATGCTCATTTTCCCTCTATACCTTTTTCTGACCCTTCTTGTCCTTTCCTCATCCCCTTTTGAACATGTGTCTTATTCAGTTATCCTCCAGTTAATGATCTTATTCAATATTTGTCTTTATGTGACTGAGTTATTTTTCTTAGGGTGAGATTCTGTGTAATCTCTCCCATGTTGTATAGTATATAGGACCTTCTTAAAATAAAATTCTGTGTGCATCAAAACCCTTCTCCTGTGGGGTGAAAAGAAAGCTCAAAGACTGGGGGAAATATTTTGCAACAGCACTTGAGACAAGGGTTTCATAATGAAAATTTACAGAATACTACAGGGATTCCCCAGAGGAAGACTGCACAAAAGGGGGGGAAAGACGTGAAAAGCCTCTTCACAACGAGGGCCTTCAGAAGACTAACTATGAGTTGCCTATGACTCGATGGCTCTTAACAACACAACAACAAGAAGTACCAGCAATTTTGTCAAACACTATACAACATGGGAAAGTGTTTTTATGTACACAAGCAGTTGATTTTTAGAAGGTTCCATTTGTTGATCTTATTCTCTTATGGTTGTACATTTTTTGTTGTGTTTGTGAGCCCATTCACGACATTAACTAGGGAGCTCTGCTGGCTTAGTGGTAAGAAGCTGTGCTGCAATCCCAAAGGCATGTGGTTCAAATGAACCAGATGCTCAGTGGGAGAATTATGGACAATAATATACTTCCATGCAATTTACTGCCTCTGAAAACCTACTGGAGGTCAGCTATGGGTTTCAAAAGCACACATACTATAGGCTAGGGCTTCTAAACTTATTCCTATTTTTTTTCTCTGATAGATTTTATGGACGGTTTTGTTGTTTGTGTTTTTTTTTTTTCAATTTACCCTTAGATCTGACCTACTTTGAATTGGTTTAAGGACCAATCCCATGTAAAGTTAATTATTATTCAAAATTATAAATCAGAGTTATAAAATCAGATAATAGTATGTATTCACGTGTTGAGGATATCATTATCTAAATTAGTGCTAAAACGTAAAATGGCATTTTGATAATGGTTACCAAACTCTAGGGCCATACTAAAAATGAGTGAATTTTACAGTATATGAATGACATATCACTAAAAGTGCGGTGAAAATTAGTGGCTTGAATTTAATCTAAAAGACTACAACCTAGATTCTGTTTTGGTTAAGTAGTAACCGGAGAGTGAAAAGCTTACAAGTGGTCTCTCTAAGGTGCCTCTGTCAATCTTCCCCTCATCAGCACTGGTAGGAGTGAAGAAAATCAAAGTTATGTAGACACAATTAGTTCAAAATACTAATGTTTGTTGTTGTTGTTGTTGTGAACCATAAAGTCATAGCTGACCCTTGGGAGAGTTTTCAGAGGCAGTTAAACACAGGGGAGGAGACTGCCCACCTTCTCTCTTCAAGGCATTAATGGGCCCTTCAAAATTCAACATCCTTGATCCTGAAGTGAGAAGAACTAGATAGTACCAGGATATCACTACCAACAACTTTGAAAGGGAGATTCTAGAAAGAGTGGAGTGGGAAGGGAAATAGTAATGAGGAGCGAAACTCAAAGTTATGAAAAAAGACTACACTGAGTGGCTTGACAGTGATGGGTGGAACCTCAGGACTATGGCCCTTAGTTATCCTTGAGTGTGAACTCACTCTGAAACTCAACTTTCAGTCAAATAACACAGACCTATAGGATGAGTAATTCCAGGGAGCTACATACTCATTTGAGCAACCCCCCATATCAGATAAAAATGGCAAGATCGCTCCAGGAGTAAAGCTCAGAAAGCACGAAAGCATAGGAAAGAAGGAAGAACAGAAATAAAGGCATAGGTAAGATAAACAAACAGGTAAACATATAGGAAAAGTAGAAAGAATGTTATCATTATATTAGGTGGAATGCAATCAATGTCACAAAACAAAAATGTCTGAGTTGAAAAAAAAACAAGCCGAATTTTCTCAGCAAACTTTTACTCAAGTCATAATTAAGATATTTTTTTTAAAACTCAATGGCTTGAAAGTCTCACTTTGGTGAATATAGTAATTTTATTCAAAACATAAGTAAATAATTTTAGTTAGATTAATTTAAAAGTTTACAAGAGATTTCCAGTTCTCCCTTTATCCCCACAACCATTTACTAGAAAGTTCTTGTGTTTTCTAAACCTTGAGATGAGGCAGGTGAGAAGAGGAGGATACTATCACTGTTTTGTAGATAAAAGGGTTACTAGGTGTGGCAGAGTTAAGAGATGCATGCTTTCCAATTATTCATCTTTGGAAAATACAGAAAGCAAATATGAAGAAGGGGAATCTGTTTGGAAAGCTAGCAACCAAGCAAACAAACAAATACACCCGCAGAGGAATTGGACCTTGTGTTCCTGGTTTATACACAAAGAAGATTACTTCCTCACCTTTCTACGTTTTCAACTTTTACACAAACAATCTTCTCTATAGTCATCTCATAAGATGAAATTACAAACTATTGCTTTCACGCATGCAGCACAAAAATACTGCACCCGTGAAAGTCAATACACGTATGTCCCAATATGTACTCCAGTGGCTCACAGAGGCACTCATGCAAAGTAGCTATAGACAAAGACAGCTACTGCCAGGAGAAGGATGGCGTTGATGTTCACCACCATTCTCCACAAGGGCTTCTCAGAGGTGTCTGTCAACTTCTTCTTCAGGGCTTCCTCCTCCTCCTTGGTCAGCTTGGGGCCTTTCCTCTGCAGACCGCAGAATAAGTCATATGCCTTCTTGAAACAGCCACGAGTGTCTTCGAGATTATCTGAGGCGTGGAAACATAAAACCATTATCACAATATTAAACTACGTATTGCTCCCAAGCATTAGTATGTACAAATATGTTGTTGTTATTTTTCATTGCCAGCAAGTCAGAACCAACCCATAGGAGACCCACCAACAGGTTTTCAGAAGCTTTAAATCACACAGGAGGAAATTGCCTGTCTTTCTTCCTCAGAGCAGCTGCTAGGTTTAAACTGTGTGGCCTTAGTTAACAACACAACTCCGTAACCGCTCCATAGGCCACCAGAGCTTCCCATATACATTTTAACATACATGTTTAAAAGCATGTGTATATGTGTAGCTAATTGACTCAGTATATTCTTTCCATCTTCTTTTAATACTTCCTGGATCATTTAACAGTCTACCTAAAGCATTCTTGATTATAGCAACTCGAGGTTTGAATTTGTTCTTCAGTTGCTTGAGCTTAAGAAATGCTGAGCAAGTTCAGCCTTTTTGATTTTCTGACTCCAAATTCCTTGCCCATTTTATTGTAATATTTTACTTTGAAATGTTCTGTTCAGCTCTTTAGTATCTTGAATTCTTCCTTCTGCTTTGGCTTCTCTGTGCTCCAGTGCAATATTCTCTTCTGACGTCTATTTTGGTCTTTTCTTCCTCTTCTGTCTTTGCAATGACTGTTTGCACCCTTCCTGGATGATACCCTTGATATCCTCCCACAGCTCATCTGGTCTTGGCTCATTAGTGTTAAAGGCCTCAAACCTTTTCCTGAGATGATTCTAAAATTCAGGTGGGATAGACTCAAAGTCATATTGACTAGGGAGGATAGAAGGAGAATTGATGCCTTTGAGCTGTGGTGCTGAAGAAGAGTACTGAGGGTCCCATGGACTGCTAGGAAAACAAACAGATTCATCCTGGAGAGGGCTAAACCGGGCAGTTCCTTGGAGGCAAGGATTCTGAGGCTTCATCTAACATACTTTGGACATGTTGTAAGGAGGGACAGGTCCTTGGAGAGGGACATCATGCTTCATAGGGTGGATGGACAGTGCAGGAGGGGAAGGCCCTCTATGAGGTGGATTGATTCAGTGACTGGGGTAATCAGGATGGATGTATCGGAGACACTGCAATTGGCACAGGACAGAGCAGAGTTTAGAGCTGTTGTACATAGGGTCCCTATGCGCACAAGCGACTTGACAGCACATAACAACAACAACAACAACATATGTGTAGCATTGACTTTTACTTTGATTTGGAGAAATCAAACCAAATATTTCATGTACAATTTTAGACAGCATGTCCTAAAATGTCAAACCCTGTCAATGGCTTAAGGAGTATCAGGAAAATGTAGAACCATGTAGGGGCAGCTGGGGAAACTGAATACAATTGTTGCTGTTAGGTGTTATTGAGTCTACAAGGACCCATAGAGACCCTAAGAACACCAGATCGGAGCTTTGCTTTATCCCATGCCATCCACAGGATCTCTGATACAAAACGTGTGAGAGAAATGACAAAGAGTAGGGAATTTTTTTTCTCTTAGAGAGAAAAGTAGAAATACTCTTAGAAGTTATGATTTTGGATATGTGGAAAAGTGAGAATACTTGTCAACTTTCAATAAAGGATACACTGAGGGAAAATACTAAGACATTAGATTAGAGAAGGAGGTGGGTCTAAGAGCTTAATCTTTTGTATTCTTTCTGTTATCTGCTTGAGACTTTTCCTCTCTTTCAGGAACCTTCTACTTCATCCTTCTCCTCAGACCTGAATCCTCTTGATAACATGTCCAAAGTATGTAAGACAAAGTCTCACCATTCTTACATGATTGGCACACTTTATTACATGTTGTTGTTGTTATGTACCATCGAGTCACTTGTGACTAATAGCGACCCTATGTGTAAGAGACCTAAATGGTGCTCTATCCTCTGCCAACTTCTCCATCTCCAACACACTCATTCCCACCATCCAATCACAGAATCGATCCATCTCATCGAGGGTCTTCCTCTCCTGCACCACCCCTCAACTCTGCCAAACATGATGTCCCTCTCCAAGGACCGGTCCCTCCTTGCAACATGCCCAAAGTATGTCAAACAAAGCTTCAGAATCCTTGACTCCAAGGAGTATTCTGGCTTTACCCTCTCCTGGATAAACCTGTTTGTTCTCCCAGCAGTTCATGGTGTATTCAACATTCTTCTCCAGCACCACAGCTCAAAGACATCAATTCTCTTTCTATCATCCCTATTCACTGTCCAACTCTCCGATGCATAGCACATAATGGCGAAGACTGTAGCCTGGATCAAGTGCACCTTTATCTCCAGCCTGATGTTGTTGCTCTTTAGTACTCTTGAGAGGCCCCTGACAGCTGACTTTCCTAGTGCAATTTGTCTTTTGATTTCCTGGCTGCTGTTACCAAGAGTGTTGACTGGGGAGCCAAGTAAACTAAAACTGTGAACAATCTCAATCTCTTCACCATCCATACTGATGCTGCCAATTGGCCCAATGGTGAGAATCTTTGTTTTCTTGATGTTGAGCTTCAATCCATATAGGAGTCTGCAGTCCTTGACCCTCTGCAGCAAGCTCTTCAGGTATTCCTCAGGTTCAGCAAGCAGGGTTGTGTCACCTGCATAATGCAAGTTGTTGATGACTCTTCCACCAATCCTGATGCCACATTAGTCCTCGTACAGACCACCGTCTCGGATGATCTGTTCTCCACACAGATTGAAAAGGTAGGAGGCAAAATACATCCCTGATGGACCCCCTTCTTGATTTTGAACCATGTAGTGTCTCTGCTCTGCTCTGACAACTGCCTCTTGGTCCAAGTATAGGTTTCGCCTAAGCACAATCAAATGTTCTGGGATTCCCATTCTTCTCAGAGTCAGCCATAGCTTGTTGTGATCCACACAGTCAAAAGCCTTTGCATAGTCAATGAAGCACAGATAGACATTTTTCTGGTATTCTCTACTTTCTGCCAAGATCCATCTAACATTAGTTAGAATATCCCTAGTACCACGATCTCTTCTAAATCCAGCCTGCACATCTCGTAGTTCTCTGTTGACATATTGCTCCAATCGTTTTTGGATAATTTTCAGCAGAATCTTGCTTGCATGTGATGTTAATGATATTGTTCAAGAATTTCCACATTTTTTATTTTTATTATTATTTGCATTAGATATTCTGTGTAATAAATGATAGGTATACATTTGCAGCTGTCATTCTTTTGTGTTTTTATTGTGAAGTCAATGATTTTTTTGGTTGTTGTGTGATTCCATGTTGACTTCATTTTACAGTCAGATTTTCTTTGATATTACTGACTTTATGCCTTAGAAGTCCTTACAAAACTAGGTATTTTAATGGTCTCATATCTATCCAAAAGCTGGGTGATGAATAAAGAAGATTGCAGAACTGATGTCTTTGAACAATGGTGTTTTCAAAGAGTACTGTATATACTACAGACAGCCAGAAGAACAAATGAATCTGTCTTGGACAAAACACAACCAGAGCAATCCTTAGAAGCAAGGAGAGTAGTATTGCATCACGCAGAGCTTGGACATTGCCCTTCGCCACCGCCCCCCACCCAGGATGGGCCAATTCCTAGAGCAAGATATCACATTTAGTAACGTATAAGGTCAATGAGAAAGAGGAAGACCCTTGAGAATATGGATTAGCATTCGACAGTGGGCTGAAACATGCCTACAATTGAAAGGATGACACAGGACAGAGTAGTGCTTCATTCCCTTGTACATGGTGTCACAATACAGACTAACGGCACACAACAGCCTCCCCCATTAGTTTCTGTTCATTGGAAAACTAAGACATGCCAAAAATGTAAGCTGTTTTCAGAAAGGGAATTTTTTAGCATTTAAATACATTTAACCAAGGTACTTATATGAAAGCTAGCCATAAGCCACGTTACCTTCTTCAACACCATCATCCTCTTCCTCTCGTTTCTCATCTGGGTCTAAATCGATGCGTTCCTCTGTACTGTTTCGAAGAGCCCAGCACAGGCGGTGAAGCTGATTACAGATCATACACAAGTCCATTAGAGATGGGGAAATGTTTATGATACAAGAAAGGTCCTTTGATTTACTGTTGTTATTGTTGTTTGTTGCTATGTGCCCCTGAGTCACCTGTCACTAATAGCAACCCGATGTACAACAGCCCTAAACCCTCCTCTATCCTGTGCCAATCTTAATGTCTCTGATACATCTTCTCCCATTACCCCAGTCACTGAGTCAATCCATCTCATCAAGGATCTTTTTTTCTTGCGCTGTCCTTCAAGAAAATATCTCTTACCACATTAACTCACTAAAACATCACAATGAATTATGCATTTTAAAAAATATTTTGGTGATTATTTATCACCTAAATAATGAGCTTAAAATCTTTCATATTTGGAATTTCATAAAGTTTAGAATACAGCTGATGACATCTTTGCTTTATTGATTGTTTCTATCACTCAGATATTGTCTAATACCTTCAAATTGTGGTGCTGCAGAAGAGTCTTAAACATACTATGGACTGCCAAGAAAACAAATAAGTCTGTCTTGGTGAGAGTGAAGCCAAGTCTCTCCTTAGAAGCTAGGATTTTGAAGTCCCGCCTCACGTATTTTGGGCATGTGGCCAGGAGAGATTGGTCCTTGGAGAAGGACATCATGCTCAGAAGGGTGGATGGACAGCTTGGGAGAGGGAAACCCAGGATGAGATGGATTGATACAGTAACTGGGGTGATGGGGATTGGTGTGTCAGAGTTGGTGAGACAGGCTCGGGACAGGGAAGGGTTCAGAGCTGCTGTATATAGGGTTGCTAGACATCACAAGTGACTCAATGGCATATAAAAATAAGAACCTACTATGATAGGTTTGGAAGCAGGAGTGGCACCCACTTCCTAAACAACTTGCCTCTGGAAACTCTATGAACTCTGATAAATGTCGATAGTTGTAGAGGGGCTTCAGGCCTTTTGTTCATAGGGTTGCTAGGAGTCGTGCTCGACTGGAAGGCAATCATCAACAACATCATCATTACTCCTTCCAGCATATCTACATATATATGTATTCATTACCATCAATTCAGGGTTGACCAACTCTGGCTTTCAGGGGATTTTCAGAAACTATAAATTACACAGAAGTAGATTGCCGATTCTGCATAACTCCCTATCATAATTTTTTTTTTTCTCACACACAAGTTCAGAGCAAGTCTGCTACCACAGCAAAGAAATATTAGCCTTGGATCATTCTGAGGACACTGTTCTAAGTATCAATTGGATTTTTAGATTGTTATAAAATCATACTTCATTACAATTGTCTTCATATTTGGCCCCCAATTTTCTTTTTCAGATTTATTTTACTAGAATTTATAACTGGATTTTTAAAATTGAAATGACAAGCATATACTTGGTCTTTGTGAAAACTGATCGCTTTGTAAACCTTCACTAAAATAAAATAAAGGAAAAGAAATTGCTCTTAATCACATCTTCTCACATTCTTTAATCATACTATTTCCTTTGCTAAACACACTTTTCTGTAAAACTTATCTTGGGACTCCTTGAATCCCCTTCCAAATGTGAACCAAGGATGATCTTCTCTTCTTCTTCTTCTTCTTCTTCTCTTCTTCCTCCTCCTCCTCCTCCTCCTGCTTCTTAACTGTATAGTCAAGTTGGCTCTGTTTTCCGGTGACTTTACATATAACAGAGTGAAACATAGCCTGGTCTATGTCATCTTCATGATTGCTGGAATGTTGGAATCATTATTGTGGCTATTGTGTTCATTCATCTCATCTGTGGTTTCCCTCACTTCCATGGACGCTCTACCAAACATGATGTGACTTCCTTCTTTAGCAACTGGTCTTTCTTTTCCAGTGACAAAGTAAGCAAAGTAAAATTCTCATCATCTTTGCTTTTAAGGAGCATTCTGGTTGTCTTTATCCTAATACTGATTTGTTTACTTTTTAATTTTTTGGTCCACAGCTTATTCAGTATTTATCACAAAGACAATTTAAATGCATTTACGGTGTCAATCAAGAGACTAAGGTGCACCTGATCCAGTTTATGGTCTTCACAATTACTTACTATGCATCAAAGAGCTAGATAATAACTAAGGATGATGGAAGAATTGACATCTTTGAGTTGTGGTGCTGGAGAAGAGTCTTGAACATCTCATGGACCACCAAGAAAACAAATAGGTCTGTCTTGGAAAGGGTGAAACCAAGTTTCTCCTTGGAGGTTAGGATTTTGAAGCCCCATCTCACTTACTTTGGGCATGTGGCCAGGAGGCAGCAATCCATAGAGAAGGACATCATGCTTGGAAGGATGGAGGGACAGCGCAGGAGAGGAAGACCCCAGACGAGATGGATTGATATAGTAACTAAGGCAATGAGAATAGGTGTGTCAGAGTCAGTGAGACTAGCTCAGGACAGGGTACGCTTCTGTGCTATTGTACAGACGGTCGCTATGAGTCACAAGCGAGTCAAAGGCACCTAACAATAATAGGTCTTCTATCTTCTTTTTGCATTGTCTATGTTTTATATGCATATGAGGTGATTAAAAAGACCATGTCTAGGTCAAGTGCACCCAAGTCAAGTGACATCTTAGCCTTCTGACATTTTAAATGTGCCTTTTGCAACAAATCTGACCAATGCAATCTTCCCTGTTTTTCTGACTTCTGCTTCCACAGGCATTGATTGAATGTCCTAGAAGAATGAGATATTTAAGAATTTCAAATGCCTCTGCGTGTTTTATAATATTTGTCTATTTGCAGGAATTTTTATTTTCTTTATGTTAACATGTAATCTATACTAATGACTGGTGTTTTACCTTCATCAGTAAGTGCTTCAATGATCTTTACTTTCCACAAGCAAAGTTGTATCATCTGTGTAGTATGGGTTGTTTATGAGTCTTCCCCCAATCATGTTGTTGAGCTCTTCTTCATAGATTCCAGCATTTCAGAACATTCCTTCTTTACATAGATTAAATAAATATCACGCAAAGATAGCACTCTGCTTGCCTCAGTTCGGATTCTTTAAAGAGGCAAAACTTATTCAATATATGTACATATCATGTTGTGTTACATGCTGTCAAGTTGGAACTGACTCATATCTGACTCTCCTGTAGTTTTCCAGAAGATTTAAATTGCATGGGAAGAGACGGTATATATGGAAAAGTGATTGGTGAACTCAACCTACATGCCTTTGGGTTGACAGTGCAACTCCTTACCACTAAGCCACCAGAACTTCCCTTTTATACATACACAGAGGATTTTATTGCAAAGAAATGGTTCATACCATTTCAGGAAAATGCTCATGCAATTATAGGGGCTCAAACATCTCAAATCTTTGGGTCAGGGAATGCGTTAAACACTTCTAATGGAGTATGTGGTCACCAGGGCTGATGAGCTCAAGACGTACAAGTCAAATAGCAATTTAGAAATTTTTACAAACTTATATGAGGTGATGAGGCAGATGTAAGTTCATGAGAGTGATATTTACCAGAAATCCTGGAGGCAGGGAATGCACTCAAGAAAACTCCCTTTGAAAGTAAAGGGCTGTTCACATCAGATTATAAAATGGAAATTTATTACATCATGTCTATCAAACCACTGAGGATCCGAGTGTAATTGACATGTTATATTTATCATCACACTCCTCCCCATCCACACCTGTTTCAATCCTGAAGCACACTATATCCTCTAGCACTTCTCGATCCATATACAAGTGCTGTAGAGGCACACTTAAATATTCTAAGATTGATATTCCTTCTAAGGTTGTCTATAATTTACTATGAGCCACAAAGGTGAATGTCTGGAGTGTTTAGAGCATTTGGTGAAGCACAAAGAAATATCTTTCAGGGATTTACTTTGGGCCAAAATTTATTTGATACCAACAATAATAAACCCCATTCAATATCCTCTTTTGAATCTGACTTGAACTTCTGGTAATTCTTGCCAATGTATGATACAATCCCTTTTAAATTACCTTCAGCAAAATTTTGCTAGGATGTGTTAATAATGATATTTTAAATCATTTTGGCTTTCCGTTTGATTGCCTTATTTTGAAATGGCACAAGCATATCTCTTCAAGTCACTCGGTCAAATACATTTCCTGCTGAAAATGTATCATTCTGGGATTTTTCTATAAGTCACTGTTAGGTTAATTCTACAAACTATCCATGACTTTCTTTGAAATTTCAATTGATTTCCATCAATCCATTTTGGAAGTTCATATATCACAGTGTACAAGTGAAGCACAAGTATAAATTATTAAATAACCTCATTGATTTTGCCAATTTTCTCCCTCAAAGTAAACAATAAATTAGGGTCATTGCTATAGCATATAAGGTTTTAGCATTTCTACTTATTTCTTGAAAAACACGATTTGCTTTCTATTGTCTATAATTCAGTACAACTCTCAATAGTCAGAATAAATATTTAGTTATGAAGTTCAGTGGCATGTCCTCAGTAAAGACATTTAAACCAACCTGACCTTCAAGTTCCCTCAGCCACATATAATCTGATCTACTATGAAAGGTACAGAAATTCAAGCAATGACAGTGTATAAGCAGCATTAAATTTTAAAACAAATGTCTTGTTTCTCTGGATCTTGTAGTTTACTTCTTTGACAAGATGCGTTATTACCAATTTCTTCTTCTTTAATCTCTTGTAGTTGATTGAAAATTCATAAATCATATTAATTTTCTCAGACACTCATTAATAGGAATTAATTATCATTTATTGAATAACTTATTATAACAACTAGTCTGGTGACCTAATGGTGAGAAACTGTGCTGCAATCCCAGAGGCCTGCAGTTCAAATCCATCATCTGCTTCATGGGAGCAGGATGAGCATTATCTTCCCATGTGATTAACTGGCTCTGAAAATCTGCTAGAGGATCAACTATGAGTCAGTTCAAATTCAAAGGCACATGTTGTTGTTGTTGTTATGTGCCGTCGAGTCGTTTGCAACTCATAGCGACCCTATGCACAACAGCCCTAAACC